CAGCACAGTGCTGCCCCTGTGTCAACATACCTGTCAGAGGTTACGTTCACCAGCATGGGGAATTTGCAGGCTGAGTCTGTGAACACTACAGGACTGCAGTTTTCACTCATTATAGATCTGCTTTGGAGTCATATTGTGAACATGCATAGACTTGTTATGTAACTGCTATTCAAAGTTACAGTAATGTTAGACTCATGGATGAACAGCAGATGGCATATTTACACCCAAGACACAAGACTATTGTTGATGGGGTTTGTAATAGCAATGTTGATATAAACGCATGTTTCTCAGTTTGTGTATTATGCTGACATTAATCTTCAAAGAAAGAAAACCATCTGGGGAAAGTTTCAGCTAAAATCATCTGAATGGGTTTAGATGCTATAAACTCTGTATTAGATGCTATATTGTTCAAGACAAAACCTCACTCAGTTGGGTAAGAAAGTCTGCATACTTCTTCATGCATTATACTAGCCTCATCTCATCCAATGTGTGCCCCAGTGCCAGCAATATTTCTTGCCTTCTTTTAAATAAATTGCTCTAATTTTAATCCTTTTATATAGCTTTCCTCCAAGCAAAATATTAAGGCATCCAGTCAAGGGCAACACTATCTTGAACAGCGACAACTTGAGAGACATCAAGCAGATTTCAAAATCTCTTAGGCTCTAAAGAGAAACAATTATGATGRAGAGATTTTTTCAACCCTAAATAATATGTCATTTTGAGTATAAAAATTTACATTAATGATAACTACATCAGTCATGTGACTTTTTTTCTTTTTTTTTTTTTTTGTTTAAAAAAAGTTAATTGCAGGGCTTTCTTTGATATTAACCTTTATACCTTTTTTTATAGTTTGCCTTTTACCGCCCAACTGTTTTCTCTCTTGTTTATTGAAAGAGTTTTAACTGGAGCATAGCTGTGCAAAAATTAGTGCTTTGAAGGCAGGGTTGATACACAACTGAACTCTGCTAAATGGTCTGTTGTGTTTACATGTGTCTTGTTAAATAACAAGGCGCAGAAAACAAGCACTGAGCATCAATGTGGGTTTTCACCATTTTTCATCTACAGAGTGTATGTTCTTGTAACTACAAAAGATAAAGCCATAAGAGCAGAAATATGCAGGCAATGTCTYTTTGCAGACCTTTGTAGTACAAATAGTTGTGCAAGCAGTTAATTCACATGGCTTTCAGGCTGTATGCAGGTCACCTGAACATCCTTAACASTTCAAATGTAAAACTGTAACAAGACATGCTTTGACATATGGAATATTTCTCGTTCTGTATAACTTTGGAAGTGTTTCTGCATAGCTGAAGTTTTTGGCAAATTTTCTATGGGTTTCTGTAGTTCCAGATAAAATCCACTGATTTTATGTATCAACTAGAAATCCCTGTTTTGGACTAAAAACAAAAAGAAAGACATATTTACCATGGAAGATTCAGGATCAGACTTCAAACACTAGTGCATGAGATTTTTTGAAAAATGATTCACTTGCATATTTAATACAAATGGAGGTGCTGTATATATAATGGTATATCTATATCTTTGATTGTTTAAATCTATAAACTATAGATTAGTTTACCATCAAAATCCAGGATAACCAAAAAGGCTTAGAACTTTGAATTTTGGTCTGAATAATGAAAAAAACAAGTAGTGAACCTACTGTCCCTTGCACTGAATGAGATGAGTGGACTAAAGCACTAATCTAGTAGTAAGGTTCTCCTTGCTTTCTTTTTTGCTAACTATCTCCAGTATAACAGCAGTTACGGTGGTAGCAGTAGCTCCTGGGTTTCTGCAAGGCGTTGTTCCCTTTTGCATGTGCTTATGTTCTACCAGTAGTATTAACTGACATAGTCAGGGAAACACTTTCCAGAAAGTAAATTAAGAGAAATATTTAAAATGCCAATTCTCTGCTGGTAAAGTTGTAAGGTTTTATAAGCCCTCACTGAAATTAGGATTGGGAGCTGCCCATTCCTAAGGGAGGGCTATTTCTGCCGCTAGCAATAGTGTTCCAAACTTTAAATAAAAATATAATACTGATTAGATCACTTTTTTTTTTTATAAAATACTTTATTAAGAATAATAAGAGTAAACAAGGTTACAAAAATACCAACTTTATTAACTAACGAAGATGCAGTAAATTACAGAATGTTTTTATTACAAGTTATAACCACAGTGTTCCCTTTCTGATAGGCATTCAGCTAGTTGTATCTAGTGGAAACATTATTTTTTCCCACCTTAATACAAAAAAAAATATTGTAACATATAACTGAATTCCCCAGTCAGTTCCCTGAAGTTGGATCCCATGCCATGCATAAACGCCCAAGAGCGTATATAAAAAGGAACACTACACAAGTTTAGGATGAAAAGCCATGTCAGTTCCTGCCAGCAGTCCCAACATTCATAAATCAATAATATACCAGTGCACATGCAGGAGGAATAAAATAACTGAAAAGGAAACAAYACTTAGCAACCAATGTAATGAGTTTTATGCAGGTTCCAGTGGGAGTCAGATGGTTTATAACCAGCTTCCAAAAGCATGGAAATAAAGCCTGGCCTGCTGTTACACTTGCTCCAGAGCTCAGAATCTGAGTTTTTGACATACAAGGTTGTGAGTTGTTCAGTGCATGGCTGGAGGGAAAAGCACTGAGCAAATTTCAGCCCTGATTCTTTTGACAACCACACTCACTGATTTCAAGGGACATTTTGCCTGAGTAGATTCTAACCCTCAGAGACAAATTTGGACCCTCATCTGAAAACTCTTGACTCCTGTAAGTAGCTCTGTCAAGTGCTTTGGCATTGCCCACGGGAAAGGTCTGCAGGATGCCTCAGGGAATTGTAATCTTAAACTAGAGACAAAGATTTCAGCAGCAGCAGCAAAAACCTAGATCAGTACATTCCCAATGAGAGTTACAGTTTCTCCAAGGGTCATGAGGTCTATGAAAGAAAAAAAGAGATAGGGAAAAAATGTTCTTTTAGGGGAAAAAATAATTAATGAAGAATTATCAGTCAGTTCCAATGTCCAGAGAAAATAAATCATAAAGTCAAATTAAGTCAAATTAACTTCAACAGTGCAGTTAGGTCTTAATTAGGTCTTAATTCTGAAATTTTGTATCCAGTTATTGCACTTTCCAGAGTCCACGGACTATCTTCAGCAAAGAGAATAAAGTTGAACCTGTGGATTTTAAGAATGTCCTCAGATGAGAATTTGAGTTTTGTAGCCTTCTTACTCAATTACTCTTCTTTAATATGAACAAAAGCAAATATACAAAGTAAAGTTCAAATCCTACTGAAGTCAATAAGAGGCTTTCCAGGAATTTAGATGGGCACTACATCAGGTTCCCCTGTTATTACAGAAAGAAAAATGTCAGAAAAAAAAAAGAAGAAATATCTATACAGTGTCCCTTTTAAGAGAATCCTGTAGTTATAACAGTTGCCTGCTACAGTACCATTGGTACCAACAAGAAATATTCACAGGAATAAATGAAGTACAAATTCATTATCACATATTGTTATTCTTCTCTTTCCTTGCTCTCCAGAGTCTCATGTGCCCTCCAAACTGAGATGGGGGGAGCAAGAGCACCTGAGGAGCAAGTGCATACAAACATGTTAAGTTCTGGAGCATCAACTCTGCACAACTTACTTTACTGAGGTGCTGCCCAGAACAAACAGGTAAAAATCCTTACACATTGTCTAACAAAAAACAGTATTTTTATCATATATATATATATATATATATATAAAAATCACAGTCTTCTGCACAGCAGAAGCTTATAACTAAAATACTTTAGGATTCATTCTTTTTTAGATAGACATAACAAAATGCCTGAAATATAATACAGTGAGGACATAACAATTCTTAGTATACAAAAAGTGAACATGGAATCATACATTTTATCCACATTCTGCTAGTGATTGAAATCAAAACTTGCTTGGAGTTTTTAAAGTCTCTCCTAAAAAGTCAATCCCTTCAATAAGATATAGTCAGTGTATAGTAAGAATATACTCTTTACATATATGGCAATAATTAACTGTAGATACAACAGGCTAAAACCTGCCCTGTTCTAGCCTGGTGAGTAAGAAAGACCAAAAGGAGGAGAAAGCCTTCAGAGGCAGCCAGAAGAGATGGAGATAGACTATCCATGTAGCATCCACAACCTTAGATCCTCTGTACAGAGAAGTTGCATCTTGTCTGAGGAGACTATTTACATCACAAAAGATTTCAGAAGCTCTGAAAATGCTTCTTCCTATGTGCCAGTGAACCTTTTGGATGCTCAAGATCAATATCAGTAAGCCACTTAAGCATGGACTGAAACTCATCCCAGTTCACCAGGATATGTAAGTGTATTTAAGTCCCACTGAAGTCAAAGTGCATTACTGAAGGAAACAATTTGGTGAGTCAACATCAGGGCTGCCTCCCAGTGAAGCTTCCCTTGCATGGTTATTTTCTGACAGGGCAGGATTCAACCCTGCATCAGCTGAATGTAATGAAATGTTCCTTTATATGTCTGCAGCACGATGTCAGTTTTAGTGATTAGGCATTTATATATGGTACATACCTTACAATTTGCTACTGGAAACATATACAATTACATACCTCACAAACTTAGTAACAGTGCAGTTACTTATGCAATTACATGTACAGTAGTAAAAATAACAATTGGATATATTTTTTATCAATTTTCCAGAAATTACAGGGTAATTGGTGGTACGTATAATGAAACACTGCCATYTGCTAATTGTATAATGCTTCCACTCATATTACCAGAAGTCTAAAGGAGAATAAGCACTTTTCAGAGATGATTATTTGTTCCCTTTCCCCATAAACAGAAATGGTTTTACATATAGACAGAAAACTCAAGCTATTAAACTATTAGTGATGTTTTCCATGTTATACACAAGATCACATCAATCCTTGCAGCAATTTTATTACCCTGAAAGGAATTATAAAAAGGATATATTCTGACAATCTTGTTCTTAGGGTTTTAGTAAAGATTCAATGTCTCTGAAAAGACAATTGTGGTAACTTATATTTCCTCATTATTAAGTCTTTCAGCAAGGGGCCAGATTCATCTGTCCCTTTTTTTCTGCTTTAACTAGAATTAACTGAATTTATAAAATGTGTCTTTTGAGAAAGAGAGCATATTTGATTTAAGTTTMTTTTAATGACAAGAATGTTCACTATTAGATAATCAGGAATAATTTTCCTATGAAACACACTTGTTAGTATTGTAAATTCATATTTATTTCTGGGACTTCCTTAAATAAATGACTRACAATTTTCCAACCAATTCATTTCCGTGTCTCTTCCCTCATCCAGAGGGTTTCTTGAGATATCTCTTGGGGGACCATGTACACACTGAAGGGACCAAGTACAAAACTAGAGTCTATAAACTCTACATAAAAGGAACTGATTTTGACAGCTATGAGAGCTCCGCTGATCAAAGTCAGTCAACAATGAAAAGATAACTTCTAAAGAGACTATTTTTTAATGAAACATTCAAACTTTTAACCTCTCGTAATGTGAGAAGAGAAATAGGATCATATATGCTGTCCTTGACTGATACATATATCTCTCAGTAGGTCTTTCATCACATATAGAGAGAAATATATAGCTCGTAGAAAGAATAAGACATGTTAAATAAAACTCTTGTTTCTTTCTCCTTCTAAGATAATCTGAAGAGCAGCGTAAAAGAGGTCATATGATCTATTTCTACAAAACTGTTTAACACTCAGCAATAAGATCTTTGCAAAACTGTTTACCCATTCAAGTATCTTCAGGAGATATGTCACCATACTTGCATATACTGTAAGTTGCTCCAACATTTATAAAACAATACTGATAGACATAAAAAACAACAAAAACACCCATAAATATTAAAAGCTCAAAAAATGTRACTATCAAGTAGTTAAAAATCATTGATCTTTACATTATACATTAATTTAATTCTGTCCAAAATCATTCTGTGAGTGGCAGTTGTTGAGGTCTGCAGGGCATTGAGTTGCAACTCATCTGTARGTCAGCAGAATCTTACGTATCCACTTGGAGTAAAATGCCACTCGAACAAAAATCCCGGGGCGATTTCGGATGGCGCATCCACGGCCAGGAACAATCACCCCCATGACAATCTTCACCCTGTTTTGTTCACAAACCAAGGGACCACCATAATCTCTCTAAGAAAAAAATACAAAGAACGTCACTTCTGAAACCACTACAAGACATTGCTCCCACCTGTGTACTATTGCTGAGGTAGGACCTAATCTTGCCATAAGATGAACCCAGCTACCAACACCTCTTTCACATCCAGAGCTTATAGGAGAAAACATCACAGAGGCCCTTTGATCTTAGGTTGGTTCATCTAAAAGTTCAGCCATAGGATCTTTCTTTCTGTGCAATTCTAATGACTTTCAACTCTCACCTCACTACTAGTGACCTCAGTGTCCTCTTTCAGCTACCTGGCAAGCATAAKGTTTACTTATGTACATATAGACCTGATAGTCACATGAACCTTCCTTCCCATGGTAACAGACTTTGGATAAAAGACCAYAGACAGAGTCCATGATAGTGACAGGGTCACTAGCCCTCAGTTAACCATGTCACAAGGCCCTAAGATGAGAATSTATATGTTTTTGTAAGCAGAAAAATAAAACAAAGCAACCCTTCCCCAAAAAACAGAGCTGATAATATTTTGTAGTGAAAGACACCTAAGTAGTTAAAATATCTATATTTGTTATTCTGATTGAATGATATATATAGGCACCAATATATGTATATTCACTATATTCAGCTGAAATATGGTGTAAGGCCAACTTGGATGAAAGTTTTATTTAGCACTAAAATCTGCTAATTCATTTTAAATTAGATTAAAACTTTAATTTAAAGTACATTCATATAGACTTAGCACCTGAATATAGATATTAAAAAATTACAACAAATCTAGCAAACTGCCCACAAAACTAAGCAGGAAGCATTTGTACCAGAGCATGAGACACTGTTTCAAAAAACTACAAGCTGACAATTAGCATTGTATTCTCTCTGGATCACTACAGAAACAACAATGCTTGACCTTTATTTGCTTTTTTTTTCTCACAGACTGCAGAATAATTCCCACATGGRCAATGGACTATGTCAGTACCTTCAAAGCTGCTCGTAAAACATTTTGAAAAGTAGAGTTTCACCTGACAGTCTGATCTTGTTCCTCTGCCTAGTCTTTACTGAGGCAGGAGGCTTCAAAGGGAAAGTTAGGGAGCAGGAAACTATCCAATGATTAAGACTGATTACTAATATTAATTCAGTCCGTTTCTTCTTGCAGGGCAAAACAAAGTGCAGGATCCCTAGCAGATTTCTATGCAGCTGTTTCATTTATAAACTGTAACATGTCTAGGAGCTCATTTATAATTAAATATTTAATTTTGAAGAAAATGCTTTGCAATAATAAAATGATCCTGTGAAATATTAATAATGAATGGAACACACCTCAGCCTTAGGAAGATGTGATTTCCCTGTTGTTTTCCCCACCCATGAGCAGGAAAACGTCGATCTTTGATTAAAATCAGTATTAGGAATCCATCTCTTTTACTCCACATACTGAATGCAGACTAATACTAATGTCTAATTAGTATTAGACTAATAGACTAATAGACTATGCAGACTAATACTAATGGGGGTTGTGGAGTCTCCTTCTCYGGAGGTCTTCAAAACCYGCCTGGATGCCACCCTGTGCCACATGCTCTAGGTGTACCTCCTTGAGCAGGAAGGTTGGACTAGATGATCTCTAGAGGTCCCTTCCAACCTTAAATATTCTGTGATTCTGTGATTCTGTGATTCTGTCTACTTTCTTTCCAAACATCACCTCATCAGGCAGAGTTTGCACACAAAAATGATATTTTTCTGCTATAAATGATACACAGTATTTTCTCTCTGCCCTCTCTTCATCATCGAAACAATTTCCAAACCCAAAAATCTCTATCAAACACCACCATCACTGAAATAATTCTACTGTTCTCACTAAGGGTTGTCTCAGTCTTGATTAAGGAGACCAAATGCTACAGCCTCCTGACATAACGCTGAACTTTGCATACTATGGGGATCTTGCTCTTTCTTTTGTAACCAATTCTGTCAGGCAGTTATTTATTTATTCATTTATTTATTTTGCATGAAAATTCTCATTTACCTAATTAAACTTGCTTCAATCTTTGCTTTGCTTTATTCCGTCAAAACTGTTGTTGCTAGCACACAGCCCGTTTYAGCTACTGTTATACTGAACAGAACACAAACTTATCTAAGTCTAGCAAAGTATTTATGTGCATGAATGATTTTAATGTGCATTTAAGTCCTTTACTAGTGTGGTGGCAATGGCATAACTGAGGCAAAGGAACTTTTTTCTGGTAGAAAAAAGATCACTGGAAAGAAAGTTCAGCTTGCAATGCAAAAGGATTGATATATTTGTATTTTTTGTCATTTTTAAGTGTAATCCAGGGAGGATAATTAGATAAAACTTTTTTTTTTTTTTCTGGGAAAGAAGCAGCAAAGTTGATGACTCCTAATATATTCTTAGCAAGCAGACTATTTACCTCACATGGCCCGGCACCGATAGTTTCAGCTGCAGCACAGATTTCTGACTCATTCACAGTGATCTTCCCTTTGAGATATTGGTTGCATTTCTCATTTCCCAAAATAAACAGGTTTGCTGCCCGGAGAAGGCCATCGTAGTGAACTACTAGGATTGAGAACAGAAATTGCTATTAGCAAAAACATTGAAGAGAGAATTTGATTTGATTTATGTTGTTTCAGTAATATTTTCTCTGGAGGACACATGCTTCTTTCCAATTCACTGTTAATATGTGTTTGTCTTTTCAATTTCTTTTATTTGTTACGAGTAAGATTTAGGGGAAATGTGCTTGGTGTACATGTCTGTTTAAGTCTCTGAGAATACCTGAGTTTTATTAGTAGGAGGAAGGACTAGATAACTATATAAGAGGTGGATTTATTCCACATTCCACCACCAGCTTGCCTGAGAACATCACAGAAATTAGAAAAAAAAAGTGAGAGTGAAGATGCCAGTGGCAGYGTTTGGCTCCATGCTCCTTGCTTTGCATAGGAGAGATAGGGGTTAATGTGCAGTGGCACTGCCACCACGGCAGCCCAGGGCAGGATGTGTGACTTGGAAAGCGCTGTGGCAGCGAGAGGTCAGGAAGCAGGAGCCCTGCTGGGCTCATTCTCGATCCGCGTGTCGGAAGACCGGCCTACGAGCTGTGAACATAAGCAGGAGGCCTGGGCTCTGCACAGCAGCCTTGCCCTGCTCTCAGCGGTACATCCTGCTTCTCTAAATAAATAAATAAAAATAATAAAAATAAAGGATGTGATACTTCTTCTGTCCCTGCCTGGGATGCAGGGAGGATTACACTAAGTCGTACATAAAATACCATGCAAAATCCTTGGCTGACAGACGCTGTGCCTATGTGCCGTTACGTAAGGCTGCAATCCTGCAGATCCCATTACAGGCTCTCTCGTCCACRCCGCCGCATCCCCTGGGCCGCCTCATCCCCGAGAAGGGCTAGCGTGGCCACGCTGCCAGCATCAAAGCCGCCCATCGRGGAGAGGCCTGGGACGCATTACTTGCCACCCACAAAGAAATGTGGAGTCGTGGGGACGAGGAGGAGAAGCTCCCATGTGTCCCCCGAGCAGCAGGGCTGCTGCTCGCTGCTGCGACGCAGTGTTGGAGCACAGCAATTGTTGGAGTAATTATTGTCAACTGGCAGCTATTAAGTTTATCATCAACACATAATTAGCCAGATATAGCATTTACCAGGCTGAATAAATGTCTGTTCTCCCACATATTTGTATTTAGTTCACACACAACCTGTGTTTAATAAATACTAGGAAGGTTGCAAAGTCAAGCAAGCAAAAGTTGGGAAATGCCTGATTTCAGGCTCCCTATGTGTCTTTAATTCGCTGCTTTGTGTATGTTAATTATTACAATGTCTTTCATTACAAGATTCTGTAGTAGTCCTTGTTTCTTCCCCAGCCCCCACAAGGCTGCCTTCTTTGCAATGCAGAAAGACACAGCTCAGATAGATGAATCAGACTTTTTCCAAAAAGTTAGAACTCTTCCAAATAATCCTGCCAGAGGTTTTTTAACACACAAAGCAGTGTATTCTTCTCTAGTTATTTCTCTGAAATGTTTGAATCACTTTGCCTGCCACTGAAACAAAAAAAAAAAAAAAAAAAGGAAGGATGGACCAGTAGAAAATATTTCATATTGAATGATCTTAGCTAAAATACATATAGCTTTACACAATTATAAAAAATTAAAATTGCTTTTAATAACAAAAAATGTTGGACAACCCCAGCATTCGGCAATGTCAGTAGCCTCACCTATAACGACCAAAGGTAGGAAGCAAGCTGTCAACATATTCATTTAATTTTTAAAAATTGTTTCTTACATCCAGTGTATCCCCATCCATAAACACTGCAAGAAGTCTTCTCTGGAATGGTGCATCCAGAAATGGGCAATCGTATTATATCTACAAAATTTGTCAATATGGCAGGTCTGAAAAGAGAAAACAAATAATAGATGTGATGAATTTTACTTGGCATTCCAAAGTGTATCTTAAGAATTACATTAAAATCTATCATAGACCTATGATAGCATAGGTCTAAACTAAAAACTGTGCCAATCTTCCATCTTTCTTTCTTTCTTTCTTTCTTTCTTTCTTTCTTTCTTTCTTTCTTTCTTTCTTTCTTTCTTTCTTTCTTTCTTTCATTTCCCTCTTTGGAGAATATGATAGATCTTTCTATCTACTTTTTGTGTTACAGCTGTGAATTTTCAAAAGATTTCTTGAAATGCTGTCACCACTTTCATGCTATTTAAATTGGGTTTTCCACTTAAAAGAAGTAATGATGACATTTCATTTGAATAAATAGTTTTGATAAGAAGGAGATAGTTCAAAAGTTCATGTATACACAAAGATCTGACTTACAATCTGGTGCTTATTCTAAGCACACTAAAAGCACATACTTTTTTATTTTTTCCTTGCTAAACCTGCTTATCAGGAAAAAATGTGGTAGCATCTGTTTTTTTGAGTAAGGTAGATGAGCCTGCATTTCTGCATATATCAATAGAAAAACAGACACGTAAAATATTCATGTTATGCYGGATAAGTGCACAGAAACAGCTGACACGACCAACATTATTTGTCTTCTTATAGTTTACCCTATAAAGATGTCATCTGCAGTACTGCAAGAGCAGAGAACTGAATACACAATTCATATTTAAAAGGAATCTCAGGAGTTGAAAATCCTGGAGATAGTGATGGTAAAAACTAACCTGCTGAGTTTCAGTAAGACCAGATCTGATCCTTCAGGGCCATAGACCAACTGGGAGATATTCAGAACTTGTTTATGCTTCTCTTCTCCCTTTCCTTTGATATTATGGACTCCAAGCCAGGCTTCATAATCTTTCAAATCTTTGTACCTAAATGAAGCAAAGCTGGTTAGGCTTTTACTGAGTGCATAATAACATAAGACACAAAAACACTCTGCTTAGTATCATTATGAGGAAAGATCTTAACTAATACTATTCAGTAGAAATGGATCCATGCTGCCAATTGCTTTTCCAAAATCAACATGTTCAGATGTAAGTTTTTGGGATGAAGTCACTACATAATTTTAAATTTAACTGTTACTAACTTGTAATTTTTGTTTCCTAATAGTATCCAAACATTTAGATCCTTGGACAGTGTGAACCTTCGGTTCTTTTTGAGATTTGCCCAAGATTGCTGTTTTATTCAGTCCTGTTCGGCAGAAGCACAAGATTCTTTTTATAAGGAGGCAATTGTGTAGCCATTGCAGTTGGAAAACATATTCATACTTCTAGGTAAAAAASCCAGAGATCTCTTAGATTAACAGCAATAATAATAGAAAATATCAGGGTCCCACAGGACTTTTTACATCACAAGAGCAGTGTTAGCGCCAAACAGGAGGGAAAAAGGCCGTATTTAAATGCAGAAAGTGTCATGCTGCTAAGTAACAGAAAATATATAAATTTCAATATTGCACTACTACTGTACCGAGAAGGGAAACACTGTCTTGCTGTTAGAACCCAGTCTTCTTTTATCAAAGAGCCTCCACAGATATGTTTATTCCTGAAAAATAGAAAACAAAAAAAGGTGTTTTCTTCTATTCAGGCAAAAATTCTAAAAGTATTTTTACTGTCAACTTCCCAGATATTTTTAATGCATTAGTGCCAGTAAAAGCTGGSTTTTTGACAGCACCCCCAAAGTTCAACTCTGTCTCTTTGCACTATTGCTTCAGTATAGGAACATGGCTTCAAAACCTATCACCCAGAAGACGAAAAAGAAATTTGGCTACTCCCTTTGCTTGCTGTTGGATCATTAGTAAGGGAACTACATAACAAAATAAAATTAGGGGAGACTTCTTTGTAATAGAAACTGGACTGAAACTTTCACATAAGCCCCTAAACTGCCACCAGATGTAAACAGCACTCGATCATTATTCAAGTAGGTATTATTCAAAGCATTGACCTCAAGGTGGAGACTTTCTGTGTGATTACTAGTCCCAKGAGATTTCAGTGCCCACATACTTCAGTTGGAAACAATCTGCAGTGTATGACATCCTACATGTGATTATAGAAATACTGSAGCATAATATATCAAGGAAAAATCTTACAATTAAACATGACAGTCCTTTCAGGAATTAAGAAGCATGTGGAATGTAGATTAATTAGTTTCCTTCTTTGCGACTTCAAAATCACATTCATTTTCTGTTGCTCTTTGGAAAGCGAATCAGAATTGTCAGCAAGTTGGGCAAAGCTTAACAATCTCACAATTTATAAATTCAAATCACACAAATGTTCACAGCTTTTCAGAGTACTACTGGAAGGAACCCAGCCTTCATGTGCAGTTCAAAGACAGAAGAATAACAGACGCTAGCCATTTTCTTTTTCTTTTTTAGGGGGTTGGGGAGGAGTGTGTTTTGGTTGAGTAACRAAATATCTCATCCAAAAAGCTGCACTCTTTTTTAAATCTAGGCTRCCCAGTTTTATTACAAGAATGTCATAAACAGGAGTGCAAATGTGTATTCTTGCATATTATCTTTATGTAACGGTTTACAAGATTGCACCATCTGCTTTAGAAGATTGACCAGTGCACATATGAAGATTAAAGTTCTCATTTAAATATGGCCCATATTCAGAGTAGTGTCTCTGAAATAGATGAAATTCCTCTAAACATGCTTAATTATATCTGATAATGGAATCTATATCCTATATATGAGGATGTGATGTTGTGTATTATTGATTTAGTGACTTATTTAGCATTTAGCCTCAATTGCGAAATAGGAAGCCAAGTTTGTAAGCACCACTAAGCCTTTATCATCCAGGTAAACATGGCAATTTCATTTGGAGATGTGTGGTTAGATTTTTCCCCAAAAAGATTAGGATTCACTTGGGAAACGCTCCACTCCATTAAAAGTGCTGGAGTCATTAAATTTTTGTTCTAGAACTATGTTCTACTTGATTCCTTTGCAACAACACAAAATAAAAATACATTCTTATACTCACATACATATATCTAAAATACATTTTGTCACTTAAGTATTTCAGGAATTTCACTTTCATAAAATAAAATATGTTTATTTAAATAATCCTTTATTTAAATAATTCTCCTCTTTACTTATCTAAAAGTTCCACAGCAGCAGTTATCAAAGCCTATATAGACCTCGATGTGTGAAGAAAATAAACATTTCCAAATAGTGACCTATCTAGGTGTCTCTTCCAGACATAGAATGATATTTCTCTAGAAATGTTTTTCTGGGCCATCTTCTACACTTCTAAATGAACTGATCCAAGGCCATAAAACTTACAGATTACCAGGGTGTGTGAACAACCTTCAACAGTTTTTCAGCTCATTAAAAGTAATGCAGAAATTACATTTTTAATCCTTCCTTTTACCCTAATTTCAAGTTAGATCTATTTGACAACATAGTTTTAGAAGGGCTTCCACTGACAAATCACAAGCTGATAGCACTGAGCTGTACTTCAGTCTGTATTAACAGACAAAAGATTTTTCTTCCCAAGCATGAGATATTTCCTGTTATTCATTAATGATTCACACTTCAGTGTAGCTGATGAGTTATTAACCAAACAGTAATGAACACAAGAAGCTGTAATTTTGTGTTCTGGCTTTTATGTAATAGCAAAGTAAGATCTTGCATAATGTAATAAACATTTCCAGCAGTACGCTTTAGGGTCTAGTTTTACAAGATGTATTTTTTAATACAAACTAAATTTCAAGTGCATGTAATGATAAGAGTAAAAAGTGAAATTTGACATGGATGTAAATGCTGAACCCATCAGTTTGAAGAAAAATGTATTGCTGTTAAAGTGTAACTATTGGTATGAACCTCAATTTTGTTATAACAATGGCAAAAATAACAGTAATAATTATGCTGGACACTAAACCAGTGATATGAAAAGATCTGCAGTAGCTAATCCAAAAAGGAAAGGTCTATATATGCTTTACAAGCTGTTATTTGTAAGCTAGCACTAACAAACATATAACCATCTCATTGACAAGCAGAACACTGTGGAATCACCAGATGTTCCAGAAATGCTATTTTCTACTTTTACAAAATTTAAAGGAAACATAGATGCAAAATTATTGTTGTCACTTTTTTCTATTGTCTCCCAAGCAAATACTCTATTATATGCATTGTTTTTCTGTTCAAAGTGATAGTTACCTGTATGTCAGACTAACCATCCATCCTTTGTTAGTCTGTGTTGGGTTTCCATTTACAACTCTCACCTGTTTTGTTGAGGCACAAGGAATGACAGTATCTGAAAGCAGGTCCAGAGATCACATTTTACTAAAAACAGCGGTAGGAAACCTGTACAGTTGCACATAAGGACCACAAGAAGGTCAATATTTATCATGGATAGGGTTTTCTTTCTTGAGTAAATAAAATTTATTTCTAAAGAATTTAAACTACTTCAGTGAAGCTGAGCTCAGTTTCTATTAATGTTTATAGGGGATTCTAAAATATACATATTTAAATTAGTTTATTATGGAGATTCACGTAGTTATAAAACAAAAATCAAAAACAATTACTATATCTCATGACTTGCAAGATAGGAAGGTGAGAATATAGCTAAGAAAGCTATTGACAAATCAAGGAATTCTCCTTGTTTAAAAGTGTTTTTTACCAAGCTGTAGTTGTTTAATTTTTATTTTTAATGGATCTTTTTCAGTATCCCAATATGGAAAGAATGACTAGTTTTAGTGGATGCACTATACACAATGAACACAGTACATTTGCAAACTTACTTACCATCTAAATTGGTTGTAATAGGAGTTGTATCACCTTCACCTAGACAGACACATAAGACATCCATAAGACAGAAAACTTAAAAGGCATCTRAGATTGAACAGGGTCACAATAAACTAGAAAGCAGCATATTCCTAATTCATAAAGTTTAAAGCTTCAGTGCTTTTTGGTTAGGTTGTAAAGGTACAATTTGATAAGGATTAACCAGAAGGCAGAATTTCCTTCCAGAAGAATGGAAGAGAACTAAACATTTTGCAGTACTGTGTTTCAAATATATCAGACTACAAAAAAAGTCAATCTTAAAAATGGAGCTGTGGTGGGTTTTTTTTTTTTTTTTTAATTTTTGGTGAGCTTACAGGAACTATAGAAGTCAAATATAAAATCCAAATAAGCTCTAGTGAAATTTCCTTTTTTGCTAAAAACCTTTGAAAATTGAGCAGTTCTTGTATGTCACTATCAGCAAAAGATTCTTCTGATCTGAATGTATTCTCCAAAATCTGCTTTGGTGCTTTGGTTCTACCCTCTAGTCTAAACCAAAATTTAGTTCCAGTAAGTCTCCTTAAAGGTTATTGAAAACATTTGCCTTCAGTAAAGTCGCCTGCAGTGTGTCCCACAGGTATGAGCCAGAGGTATGATTGCACCTCCTCAACATTTGCACAGGCAAACCTAAAACTGCTTCATATGGTTTTAGATGGAAACCTAAGACAGTAGGTTGTTTTATATACATGTAACATGTACAGAAATATAGATCTATAGATAGATAGTTTTATGCATATATAGATATAGGGATGGATGGATGCATGCATGGATGGAGGGATGGATGTCCTATATCTTTCTAGATATAGGACAGCTAGATCRGACCAACTAGAGGCACTGGGTGTTTGGTAGCTGACAGTACATCGTCTGTATCTGTTATGCTGTTCTCACTGTCCRAAGAAGCCACTAATAATTTAAAACTAGTCTACACAAGTTAGGGTTGTGAACTAGACATATCCCAGTTCTGGAATTCAAGTCCGGACATGACAATACTCACCATTTCCATAACCCTACCAATAAATGTTGCAGTGAATATTTCCTTAGGAATTCATAGATCCAGATAATGAATTCAGAGAAAGTGAAGAGAGTTTACTTTATCTAAATTGACACAAATAACCTTTTGCACATTGTGCTTGTTCTCCACATAGACGACAGAAATCACCTGGGACTTCAAATATCACTTCTTAGAGCTGCTGCAGCTCAGACTATGAGCACATGCAGCATATTGCTGCCAGGGATGAATGTAACATTATTCTCGACCTCTAGAGATCACAGGAATGTATTCAAGAACTTGATTTACCATTTAAACAACCTCCCAGGATATACAGCACTATAGTTTTGAAATATGAATGAAGAGCAACATCTTAAATATGATTTCACATTCTTCTGTATGATTTTTTTTCCGCTTACCTTCAGTTAGTCACTCAATCCATTTTATTTTTGCTTATTTAAACTATTCTGTCTTTTTTTTCTTAACAGACCACTTCAGTGGAATGATATTTCTAATTCTTTCTAGAAGTTAAATMATCTCATAAACATCTGAAATGCCATCTAATCTACATAACACATATACACATCAGTATATATGTATCAGTATACATATATATATATATATAGTGATTTAGTCGCATTCTGCAAGCAAGTATAGAATACACAGAGAAACTGTGAAACTTGTAACACAAAAGATAACTGYCCCTGGATTTCCTAAGACCACCGTCAGTGTTCTGACTAGTTCTTTGTGTCCTTCCAGTCGTCATTCAACACTTAGATTTGTTRGAAAATATATGACCATTTTTAATAGTCCTTTTATGCTCCTGCTGCATAAATAGGCCTTAAAATCTCCAAGCTGGTCAAGGAAAATGACCCCTTGTACATATATTGCACAATTTTGTCTATTCCTTCTCAGTCATGCACAACTAATTCTTGATAGAATTACACATTTTCTGCTGCTGTGAGTGACAGTCAAAAGGTATAGATATGCATGTGACACCACAGCTTCACTGAGACTGCACAGTTGGCAATGCCCGAGGCACACTGAGTACTCACACCGAGAAATAGGGCAGTAATCCCAGGGAACAAGAGGATCATCTGTGTAACACCAGGGACCATGAGCATCATCATCTGGATTGCGGCAATAGTTTTTCTTCAGTTTACTAACATCTGGTTCTCTGAATATTGGTATATGCCTACAGGGAGAAAAATTCAAAGTGSTGAAAAGCTTTATAATATAGCCTAAATTTTCAAAGGTTAAGTGTTGTCTTGCTCTGCATTGTAGATCTTGTCTGATTGAGAGGCCTACAGGTCTGTGTTTATGGCTGGTTAAAATCAAAGGGAATCAGAGGTTCAAATATTTGCTGGCTCTGGGTCCAAGTTTTCCCGGGTTGGTATTTTAAGCACTGTATCCACTGGACAGCTGGGAGTTTTCTAGATCCCTCATTGAAGCTGAAATGCCTGGATCCCTTAAAGAAGGGGTTTAAAACTGATTGGAAAGGTGTCTGTGTTGCCTGCAGCAATTCTGCAGGCCTGTTCAGGGAACGCAGGTCCCCCCCTCACTGCAGGTGAACAGTGAGAAGAGGGAGAGCACAGAATCTGCTCAGGACAAGTCTAGCGAAGAAGGACTAATGTGAGAAAGTTAAAAAGACAAAAGCAGAAGGATGTACAGCTCAGAAAAACTAGTGATAGAAAATTGAATATAACCATCCGTGGGGCTTAAGGTTTGGGACTGAAAGTCTTAAATGGAGAAAGCTGGCAGACAGGAGCACACAGGCTTCTTATTTCTCTTATCATCTTAGMTCACATCCAACCACAACATCGCTTATAGCAAATCCATAAATTGGATATCCATCTATTCATACTATGAATACATCAATACGATTGATATCCATCCATAGTTGGATTAGTCTGTGGAATGACACAGACCTTACCCAGATGAGAAAAAAAAAAATGTGAAAGGAAGGGGGAAGAATTGCTAGTTTTCTGTTAGAACAACAACAAAAAATGTTTCTATTTGAGCCAGTAATGTGAGTGACAGCTCAGACAAGGGGCGATTTTTGATGAGACTGTATTTTTGTCTGTTACCTGAAATTCATCATTGTTGTTATTCCTGAAATTTATTTTTTCTCCTAGAGCAAGCAGAGACAGTATGGAGAATCCTGACCTATTTGAAAAAGTCCCGGAAACTCACAGTACCTTTGGTTGACCGGTTCATTTTTATCTTAACAAATGTTTTGAATTAAGTTGTCATTTCCACTGCTTGAATAGGAAGCCAAAGTAATAATGAGCAGTAGAAATTGCAAACTGCTTTAATGGCCTCTGGTGTCAATGGCATTAGATTACAGACTCATAGGATAACTCAAGTTAGAACGGATCTCAGAAGGCCTCTAGTCCAACCTCCTGCTCAAAGAAAGATCAGCCTTGATCAGGTTAGATTACTCAGAGACTTATGTTCAGTACCTTGAAAAAGGAAAATGTAAATGAGGAGCAAATAACATGACCTTCTTCTGCTGTGTTCCTTCTATCCTCGTCATAGAAAAGAAGTATTTAAAGGACAGAGATCGAGTAAGCCGGCCAGTAAACTAAATGCTAAGGATCACCCCAAAGACTGCAATTAGTGGTTAGCCTGAACAAAGACATGTTGTGTAATATATTTAAACATTGAAAAGAAAAAGMAGAGAAAAAAACCCTACAAGCCGTAGGGCATAAGGGGTTATTTTAGAATCTCAGCAGAAAAAGAGATGCCATCTGGAGGCAGTATTTATTTAGGACTCAGTGAACCATCTCTTTCTGTTTCATGTATACACACCTACGTAAGTCTTCAATATTCTTGTCCCATGCGGAGCAAGTTAGCCCAAATCTTGTCTTGGATAAATTCCCCATGTAACTCTTGCCATTGCCACGATAACAATCTGAATAAATAAGGTTGAGACAAAAAAAAAAAAAAAAAAAAAGTGATTGTATCACAGAGTATATGCACTCAGCA